GGGGGGGGGGGGGGGGGGGGGGGGGGGGGGGGGAGAGGATGAGGGAATTTCTGTAGTAGCAATCATGGGTAGGCGTCAAAAACCTGTTTCGGCATCAGTGGGCTTGGGCTCGGCCAAGTTGGGCCAATTTTTGGTAATTGCCCAAAATCCTTTTTCGGCATCGGTGGGCCTAGATGAAGTCGGGCCAGGCCCAGTTTTGGTATTTACCCCCAAGACCTGGTCCGACATCAGTGGACTTGGACGAGGTCGGCCGAGCCGAGTTTAAGTAATTATCCCGGGACCGTTCTTCGGTATCGGTGGATCCCGTCACCTCGTCGCGGTCGTTGGCGCTGCATGGGCGCGACAGCTAATGAGAGCTTCAGAGTAAAAACAGCTGATAAGTTTATACGTGCGCTAGCATTCTGAGCACAGGTTACTGTTATTTCACTCGCGTTACCTGCAAAAGACGAGAAAGAACTGGTGTCAGGTAAGCTGATGCGAAATTAAGCTTTAATTTTCTGGATCCAGCAGAGGAATTTTGGAGACGTCCGAGGTTTTGATACCTAATTTCTTCGTAAGTAGAATCGCAAGAGTGGCAGAGTCAGGAAGACCAATCCGTCCGTGGCTCGGGGAACCAACTTTATGTGGGATCCCGTTTGTAATCCCAATAATATTTTTTTGAAGGAAGCCGTTAAGGAAACCGTCTCTGGCTCTGAATCATTTTTTCTGGAGGGATGTTGTTACGGAATTACTTCCAAGTTCTTTCGTCTCTTAGAAGGATCAGAAAGAGGCCCGGGCTTGATCCTCGCCTTCTTGTAGATCCTCATTTAAGCCGGGTTTCAACACAGGCAGGCTACCAAGTCACTGTACATACAAGTTTTCCTATATGGGAGATCTAAATGGCACTTCCAGTATTTTAGTTATCAAAATTCGACAGTGTTCCTCTCAACGGTGGGCCAGCAACACCAAACAAACTGCATATTTTTAATGCATAAGCGATTTCAGGCCCCCGTTCTCTGCAACAGTCTCCCAGGCAGGGATATTCATTGTTTGTATCTCTAAAATTTTTGCAATATTTCGATGAGGAAGCAGTGCAGAGCTGTTATTTTGGCATAATTTGTTGGCGACTTTTGAGGGCTTTCCCGTACTGAACATATTGATAGATGATAGGGATTGGGTATCGTTTGGTGTGGCTCTGACATCAGAATTGGAGTGTTGCAGGTATGCCGGATTTAGAAGATGCGGATAGTGAGGAAGCGGACGGAACGGAGACGAAAGAAACGGATGCAAAGGGAGAAAAAGAGGCCGAGGAGAAGAAGGAAGCGAAGAAAGTTGGCGAGAAAGAGGAAAAAGAAGAGGTTGTGGTGGAAGCCAAGGGATGTTGAAAGAAGTATCAGCCGTTTTGCTTTTTTTTTTTGCTCGAGTACTGACTTTTGTGAACAGTAATGATTGTTTCTCTGTTCATTTTATGCCAATTTCGCAGTTAAGTTGAAGTAACTGTTTTTCTTTTTTTAAGTCGTTGTTAACTGTTTTTTGAAAGTCAAAGTAACGTTTGTTACGATCAAAATCATTCCAGAAAAAGTCGTCTGGTTGTTGGGTTTCGATGGGGAAAAGATGCAAAAATTACCTGGTTCATTCATCAATAGATTTTACGACCTGAATTTTTTTTTTTTTTGTGGTAATTTTAAATTCTAAAGTTGACCGAGATCGGTTTTTGCAGGATTTTTTCGGTTTTTTTTTTTTTTTGCTTTTTTTCTGTAGAGATTAAGGGACAAACTACTTATATTTGCATTTGCAGTATTGGGGCTACTTCGCCCCCCGGAAGAAAGATTGCGCAATATGATGCAATTTTGCATTGCGCGACTTTTACACATTTGTTTTTTTTTTTTGCAGGTATCACACAGAATTTTATCTTATTTTTTTCGGAGAGCAAAATTTTTCATCAGTTTGTCACAAAGTTTGATATTTCCTCTCTTCAACTTTGGCTGTTTATTTGTTTTGCACTTGCTGAGTTTGCAGAACTCGTAATTTGAGGGAAATGCACCCCGTTTTTTCCCCACTTTAACAACATTTCGCCGCTTTTCTGGTTGTATTTTGTTGAATAAATGTTATTTGCACCCGAATTTGTTTGCGTGTGTAACTGCCTCTTTTTGAGAGGAAGTGCATGAAAAAGCACATCCAAGTAATTGATATTACGATTCCTGGAGTTTTCTTTTTATGCGATTTTTGGGAATTTTTTGCGATTTTTAAGATTTTGAGTTACTGTATATTGATCGATGTGATTTTCTGGTATGTGGAAACTTCGGTTTCTAAGAAGACATACTCGGCTGGCAATCGGGATTGTTTCTACTCTCGTGATTAACTTCGATTTATAGCCATCTGCAATTCAACCGTTTGTGTTTACAGTTCAGGGATGAAACACAGAAGTCACCTAGTTATTTAAATACCAGTTTGCTGGGGTGGGATAGCTAAATGGCATTTTTGGGTTTCACTAAATATTAAAATTCGACTTTCTCTTTGTAACCAAATTACACATGCAGTCACATAATACATCTTTAGCCCGTCTTCCTCCAATCTTCTAATGCTGTTAGTTTATTTTCATTAGCATCTTCAGTAGCATTCCAAAAAAATTTCTGGTACTTATATTTACATTACTCATAGGTAAAAGGTACTTATCTTACTCGAAGGCATGCGATGACCGTTACGCGCTTCAGAGTTTACGTAGTACCGCAGCCGATCCTCCAAATGGGTCGTCAGAAGTCCTTGAGAATCCGCCGATGAATGGTGCTTGTATGGTATGGTAAAATGTCCAAAGCCGGAAGCCCTGTTTGGAATGGGAGATCTTCCACTAGCCAACCGGTGTATTACTGGACTGGAGTGAGGAGTTCAAGTATCAACTGTTTCGTGGGTTTGCGAAGTTCGGTGTTGGGAGGCGGAGGGGGGAGGGGTTTGGGTGATGTTTACACGGGATGCTAACAAATCCCCGGATGGTGCTTGCTGACTTGTGGGATTTTTCGTAATCCCGCTGGGCTAGTTGAAATTATTTGTCCAGCAGCACACGTAAGAATCACGCACGCCTGGGACCTGGATTTGAAATCTTTAAGTTATACGTGGGCTGGGAACATCCCCTAAAAATCCCTGCTTTTCAGCTTTTCTGGTTCACGAGTTAGCAATTCGAGATTTTTGGAATTATTTATTTAGCGTTTACCCGTTTTGGGGCTCTCGGAATCACTGCGGAGGGGAGCAAAGGGCAGGATGCGCGGGAGCATATACAGCATTCACAGCCACTTCATTATTCTCCCGCATTATCCCGGGAGGTTGTTCAAGTGCTTCATCATTTACCGCGCGGTACATAGGGTGGTCAGTGAGGCGGGCTGTTTTTGTGTTTTCGCTTTCTGCTGGTCAGTGTGTTCTGGATGAACTTAGTTTGCGGGGAAGTGTTGTTGCCTGTGTACGATCAGAATGAGGGGCAAAAACGCACATTCCTCTTCACTGCTTCCTCCCCCAACTAGATTTTTTTCTTCCGCACGAACCCCTTTCTTAAATCGAGCAAGAGCCAAGGACGGGTTTGGTGTGGGGAGAAGAGGGGCGGACGGGGGAGGGGGGTGAGTGGTATGAGAAAGCGGGGAGAAGGATTAAGAGACGCGGCGAGAGGCCCAAACTGGATAAATTGTAGGACGGGGGGGGGAGGGGAGGGAGGGAAGTTCGTAATGATCCGCGACCGCATTCCTCATTTTCTCGGATGGGAATAGCTTAGGGTGCATGTGTGAAATCATCCGTCATTTCAGCCTGCCTGCCTGCCAGTTCTCAGCACATTCGTTGCATGCCGCCCCTCCAGGCATTTGTTTGTGTTTGTATGTCTCTGTATGTGTGTATGTGTATTTTCGTGTGTTTGTCTGCGTTTGCATGTGTATTTGTGTATGTGTGTGGTCGTACGTGTTTTTATGTCTGCGTCTGTTTGTGCGTGTATGTATGTTTGTTTATTTATTTTTGTGCATGTATGTGGACAGTCTGTGTGCATGTTTGCGTATGTGTATGTGTGTGTGTCTTCGTATGTGTTTTTATGTCTATACCAGCATGTGCGTGTAAGTTTGTGCCTCTGTGTGTGTGTATTTATTTTGCCTTTGTTTCTAGCCAATTATCCGCAGTTGTTTACGCTTTTTTAACGTTGTTTAAATAACATATTATTACAGCTTCATCTCCGCCGAAAGCCTGATTTCTGAGTGATTGGATTTCTAACTTTTGTAGTTTAGGCAGTAGGAAATGGGGTTTTTTGGTGTTGACGCTTTGATTTACCGCAAATTACTGTACTTATCCAGCAAAATTCCTTAATGGAGGGGAAGAATTCGTAAAAAAAAGTTCATAAAAATTCGTTAAAAATCGGATAACTCGTGATTTTTGAATTTTCGATAATATAGTTCGTAAAAAAAAAACTTGAATTTGTAGACTCTCTCTCTCTGCTTTGTCGGTTCACTCAATCTGTTTTGAAATGGAATATTACGGGATATTCCAGAACTACCGATGCACACACCTGTGCTGATCACGAGTCCAGTTCGGACAAGACCACTCGCTGCTAATTAGGCTAGGGTACCGAAACTGCCGCATGTTTGTGCAAGATTCTGTAGTCATATTCAAGACAAGACTGGATTCATCACTTGAACACACACACACACACAGACTTGTGCATACATATGCGTGTATAATAGACATACATACACATACTTATGCATACACAAACACACAGATTCGCAGAAGAAAACACTTAGACACACAAGCACACGCAGAAACGTGAGTGCACACACGTACAAATTGCACACCTATACACAGACCTGAACATACACACACACACACACACACACACACACACA